GTAGGCCCAGCTACTCGGAGGCTGAGGCAGAAGGATGGCTTGAGCCCAGGAGTTTGAGTTTGCAGTGAGCTATGATGATGCCAGTACACTCTACTTGGGGTGACAGAGCAAGACTCTGTCTCTAAATAAATAAATAAGAAAGGTGTGGCCTGTACCCACATGAAGTTTACAAGGACAAATAGTGGTGTTAGGAAGTCAGTAGGCAGGGGGAGTGATAGAGGAGGAGAGTGTGGCTTCCTTGAAGAGGTGGTGTTTAAACCAGGATGAGTCAGTTATGCCAAGAGCTCAGGGGGGAGAGGGAAAAGAGGGTTGCTGTGGAGTAGAGCAGTATAATCCAGCCACAGAGACGTGCACGTGTGAAAGGACGAGGCAGTAAAGCATGCAGCTGAGAGCCTGAAAGGAGGCCAGTGTGGCCAAAGCACAAGGGGGTGAGAGGAAAGAAATGGGTGAAGATCAGGAGGCAGGGGCCTAAGGATGTGGGCCTTTGTGGGTGACAGTGATCTTTGCTATGTGGAGAACGGATTGGAAGGAAAGAGTGGAGCAGAGTGAGGAGGCTGCCATAAAATGTGCTTTGTAAAATGTGAAGTCCTGTAGAAATATGAGGTATCATTAACGATGAAATAAAAGTTAAAAGTAAAACATTCTACCATGTGAGAGTGGAATGTACCTTTCAGGTAATTGAAGTGGCAAATTCAGCATAGGTAGCTCTCCTTCAAGTGCCTGTTATGAATACCATTCAGCTTCTTTTCTCTTTCATTTCATCATTCTGCTACTTTCTCTTTCCATCAAAATGATTTGCAAAACATCCCCACCAGATTCCAGACCTATGTGATACAGAGGCCAAAGCATTTGCCTGTAAACCAAGAGAGCCCTGTGTGCAGAGATGCTGCTGTTTGCAGGGCTCCGCTCCCCAGCGACGGTACCCTTCCAGGAGGCGGGAGGAGGGAGGGAACCAAGGGCACCAACCTCTTTAGGCTTGCTTTTGGATTTTAAAGGGGAGAATGTTTTCTTAAGTAAAGATGTTTTCCCCTTTTTGTAAATGCTTAAGAAAGAAAGTATACTTTTCCCCCATGAAGCCTTTTTCTTTTTTTAATTTGCCTTCCAACTACCAAAACAATAGGGGAAGACCTATTCTATTTTGATCAAAAAAAACAAAGTGACAATAAATGCAACTTACTATCCCATATAAAGATAAATGGATAGTGTGTAACATAGTTTACCATTGTTCCGTTTCTGCTTGGATGTATTTTTTGTTTTTGTTTGTTTTTATTATATTCATTTTTCCCTTAAGTAATAGGCATGCTCCTTGTCACTAAGTAAACAATTTGAAGATGTATAAAGAAAAAGTTATAATTTCTCTCCTTACTCCCCATTTCCATCCTTCTGCAATAACCAGTGTTATGAGTTTGGTATATATCCTTCCATACCTTTCTCCAACCTCCTATTTAAATGAATATAAGGTTTGGGAGTATATGTGGTTATTTGTTTTGTCAAAAGTGGTACCAGGCTGGGCACAGTGGCTCATGCCTGTAATCCTAGCACTCTGGGAGGCCAAGGCGGGAGGATCGCTCAAGGTCAGGAGTTCGAAACCAGCCTGAGCAAGAGCAAGACCCCATTTCTACTAAAAAAATAAAAAGAAACTAATTGGGCAACTAAAAATATATATAGAAAAAATTAGCCAGGCATGGTGGCGCATGCCTGTAGTCTCAGCTACTCGGGAGGCTGAGGCAGAAGGATTGCTTAAGCCCAGGAGTTTGAGGTTGCTGTGAGCTAGGCTGATGCCACGCCATTCTAGCCTGGGCAACAGAGTGAGACTCTGTCTCAAAAAAAAAAAAAAAAGTGGTACCATATTTTATTCATTCCTCTGCAGTTTATATTTCCCACTAAATAATACATCATGAGTAGTTGTAAATGGCTTTTAAATGGCTTCAGGCCTATAGATCTAGAAATACCACAGTATAGTCAACCATTTCTCTTTTGACAGATATTTGAGTAATCTGGGCTTTTTCTACACAAATATTGTTGCATCAAATATCTTTATGTACATATTCTTCTTTATTGGTGCTTTTGTTTTAGTAGGTTACATTTTAAAAAATAGTATTGCTGGGTCAAAGGGTATTTGTATTTAACGTTTTAATAGATAATACCATCCTACTTTACAAAGAGTTGGAGTAATTTACATTCTTCCCAGCAATATATGAGTACTTCTGTTTCCTTAAATCTTTACCAATATTAGATATTCTCTTCCTTCTTCCCTTTTACCTCTCTTACCCCCTCCTTTCCTCTCTTTCTATTATTTTATTTTGTGGCCAAGATAATGGGGGAAAATGGTGTCTTATAGTTGCTTACTTTGTATTTTCTTTACTACTAGTGAGATTAAACATTATTTCATGTTAATTGGCCATTTCATTTTCCTCTTCTGTAAATTTCCTTCACCTTGAAGTAGATAGACTAAAGATGGCTCCTGTAGATCTAAAATGGAGTCTGTCTTGCTCCAACTATTAGTAAAAGGTCCCGACCTCTTAGGAAAGTTCCCAGAGGAGGCAGGAGAAAGTCAAGGAGGCCTGTTCTCAAAAAGAAAAGAGAGGTCCTGTTCCCGGAAAGTCCCTTGTCCCTTAGTGTACCTTTCCATCGTTTGCTTAACTAGCTTAACTAACGGCTAGGCTAACCGCAAAGTTCTGCTTCTGTGATTGCTTGCTTGCATAGCTGCCAGCCCCCAGGGTATAAGAGAAATGCAAAGGCTCAAAGGCTTTGTTCGGGGGCTGCTTCTCCCTCCTTGCATGGAGTGGTGACAGCCCCTGCACAGGTAGAAATAAACTAATTTGGCTGATTGGATTCTAGTGTCCGAGGCCCCTTGATCCGCTGGTTGATAACAACCTATTTTTCTTAGTTGTTTGCTTTTATCTCAATAAGTTCTAGGAGCCTTTTATATATTTATATATTAAGGATTACATAATGTGCTATAAATATTTTTCCTAATCTATCACTTTGTTTTTATTATTAAATATAATATTATTTATGGCAAAATATATCCGTTTTCTATTTTTCTCTTCATAGTGTCTGAATTTCTTCTTGCCTTGTTTAGGAATAACTTCCATACTTTAGAGTTATATAAATATTTTCCTAAATGTTCTTCTAATATTTTTATTGTTTTAATTAACTTAATCTAGAACCTTTAATCCATTTAGAATTTATGTTCATATGTAGTAAGAGGTAGCTTTCTTCTAGTTATATTAGCACCACTTCTTAAATAAACCATCTTCTTCCTTTTGTATTGAAATCCTACCTTTTTTTTTTTTATTTTTTTTTTATTTTATTTTTTTTTACTTTTTCTCTTTAACAATAAATCTTGGTGAGAAGAAATCCTACCTTTTTTTATAAATAAGTTCCTTTATTTACTTGTATCTATTTCTGGACTTTCTAATCTAGTCCACAAACCTATTTGTTTTATGTTAATACCATATCTTTTTTTTTTTTTTTTTTTTTTTTTTTTTTTTTTTTTTTTTTTGAGATAGAATCTCACTCTGTTGCTCAGGCTAGAATGCCGTGGCATCAGCCTAGCTCACAGCAACCTCAAACTCCTGGGCTTAAGCAATCCTTCTGCCTCAGCCTCCCGAGTAGCTGGGACTACAGGCATGCACCACCATGCCCAGCTAATTTATATATATATATTTAGTTGTCCAGCTAATTTCTTTTGACTTTTAGTAGAGATAGTCTTACCTCACTCTTACTCAAGCTGGTCTCGAACTCCTGAGCTCAAGCAATCCTTCCGCCTTAGCCTCCCAGAATGCTAGGATTACAGGTGTGAGTCACCACTCCTCATCCTCAGTCAATACTTTAAATTTACCAATGTGCTTACTAATTCCTTTGCTCACTGCTGATTCTAAAATCTCATTTATTTTATGTGTCAGTCTCCTTGCTTGGAGAATGTTCTTGGGGTCTGTGAATGATAAACTTGCTTAGTCTTTGTTTGAAAATATCTTTTGCTCTCACTCTTAATATTTTAGCTGGATATAGAATTTTGCATAGACAGCATGTGTAATGATTTTGAAAGTTATACATGCCTCTTTAAAAGTTGTCAATCAAAACAGAAATAGATAATGTACAAAGTTGAAAGTCTTTCATTCCTTTCCTCTGAATCTCTGAGTCCTAGAGAGAACCACTGTTTGTAGTTTGTTTTTTTCTGCGTATACTTTAAAAATTTTAAACTATAAATTCTGTATACTTTTAAATATATGTACACAAATGCCTTCTTTTTCTCTAAGTATACTCATGTTCATATTTTTTATTAAAAAGTGATAATATATGCAATTTTACAATATACTCTCTTTGTTTTTTTTGTTTTTTTTTTTGAGACAGAGTCTCACTCTGTTTCTGGTGCTAGAGTGCTGTGGCATCAGCCTAGCTCAGAGCAACCTCAAACTCCTAGGCTCAAGCGATCCTACTGCCTCAGCCTCCCAAGTAGCTGGGACTACAGGCATGCTCCACCATGTCCAGCTAATTTTTTCTATTTTTGGTAGAGACAGAGTCTCACTCTTGCTCAGGCTGGTTTCTAACTCTTGAGCTCAAATGATCCTCCCGCCTCAGCCTCCCAGAGTGCTAGGATTACAGGCATGAGCCACCACACCTGACCTACAATATACTCTTTAACAATCAAGCATGTATATGTTTCCATTTCAGTACAATGAAATCTCTCTCATTCTTTGAAATAACTGTATAGTTTCTCATTGTATTGATACACTATAATTTAAATGTTATTCCATTTACAGACATTTAAGTCATTTCCCTCTTTGTTTTGCTACTATATATTTCACTGAGTATCCTTTTACTTATGTAAACATATGTATTGTACAAATTCCTGGACATTTGGCTAACCCTAATGGATGTGCACATTTAATATGTTAATAGATATTATTAACTTGCCTTCCCAAAAGATTGTTTCAGTTTACAACCCCAGAGTATGTCTGGCTTTAATTTTTGTTTTTCTTTTGGTTCCTTAGAATTTCCACACTGATTAGTCAACAGTGGAAAATCTGAAGACATGCAAGCAGGAAAAAGAAATTAAACCAGGTGAGTAGTCATGCTGTTCATACTGTGCTACCAGAGCATCACAGATTTTTGCCTAAATACCTGTATTTCTGCTTGAAGAAAGAAAATAAGTAGGTTTTAAATGACATTAAAGACAAAAAGAGTACTTGTGCAAAGCTTCTAGAACTATTATTAGTATTTACTTAAGCCATGTGCCAGACATTATGATAAGCACTTAAATACTTCTTAATCTTATTTAATCTTATGAGGTACATATATATTATCCCCATTTTATAGATCAGGAAACTGAGGCTCTAAGAGGTAAAACTACTTGCCCATGATAACACAGGAATAAGTAGAAGAGCCAGAATGCATAGGGCTTGCCCTTCTGCTGATACTCTTTCTGCAGATGTTTCAGACAGTGTGGAAGCCACAGAGAAATTAAAGGACAGCTCCTGTGTTCTCTTATATCTTGAAAATTCTGTGCAGGGCCCTCACATAACTAACATATGATCTGAAACTGAATCCTGGGGCTAACATGCCCATTTAGCATTTCCCCTCAGTCCTTTTCTTTAAGTGCATTAAAAACGGCTGCTACCTTCCCACCACATGGGCACACTGCATGGCAGCCAGGAGTGTGCCTGCTCGTCTCCCAGGCTGTTTTCCTTCTGACCTCAGCAAGGGGGGCAGGCCATGCATGCAGGGGAAGCACACAGCTATTCCTCAAGGAGGCTGTCACCTGCTCTGGCCTGGCACAGACACTGAAGACGTTCCCCATCTCTTGGCTGAGGAAATCTCCTAGGAGAGGAGCCAGTGAAGCAAGCAGAGAGTAGAAAGTGAAAAAGAATCTCACCTGGCTGAACAAGATCTCTAAGGCCCAGGACTAGAAAAGATTGAAGCTGTGTCCATACCAAGCCATTTAAAGAATCTGCCTCGTATAATAGAATCAATATTGTCAAAATGTCCCTACTACCCAAAGTGATCTACAGATTTAATGCCATCTCTAACAAAATTCCAATAGCTTTTTTCACAGAAATAGATTTTAAAAAATTCTAAAACTCATATGGAACCATGAAAGATCCCAAATAACTAAGGCAATCTTGAGCAAGAAGGATAACAAAGTTGGAGGCATCATACCACTTGATTTCAAATTATATCACAAAGCTGTGGTAATCAAAATGTATGGTACTGGCATTAAAAAAAGACATATAGACCAATGGAATAGAATGGAAAGGCCAGAAATAAACCCACACGTGTACGGTGAGCTAACCTCTGACAAAGGTGCCAAGAATATATGATGAGGAAAGGATAGTCACTTCAATAAACAGAAAAACTTGATATACACATGCAAAAAATGAAATAGGATTCTTATACCTTACATAAAAACCAACTATAAATGGATTAAAGATTTAAATGTAAGACTTAGAACCTTAAAACTTGCAGAAGAAAACGGGAAAAACTCCATGATATTGTGCTTTGGCAGTGATTTTTTTGGATGTTAGCCCAAAAGTACAGGCAACAAAAGCAAAGAAACAAAACAAGTAGACTACATTAAACTAAGAGTTTCTGCTGGGTGACTGGACAAAGAAAAAGTGATATACTATGGAATATTACTCAGCCATAAAAAAGAATGAAATCATGTCCTTTGCAGGAAGATGGATAGAACTGGAGGCCATTGTCTTAAGTAAAATATTAAATAATTCAGAAATCAAATACCACATGTGCTCTCTTATAAGTAGGAGCTAAATAATGTCCACACATCGACATAGAATGGAATAATAAATAGTGGAGACTCAGAAGGTGAAAGGGTAGGAGGGAGGTGAGGGATGGAAAATTACTTAATGGGTACAGTGTACACTGTTCAGATGATGGTTACACTATCAGCCCAAACTTTACAACTATATACTAATTCATGTAACAGAACTGCACTTGTACTCCCTAAATCTATAAAAATAAAAATAAATAAGGTTCTACATAGCAAAGGAAATAACAAAATGAAAAGACAACTTATATGATGGGAGAAAATATTTTCAAAACATATATCAAATAAAGGGTTAATATTTAAAATATATAAGGAACACATATAACTCAACACCAAAAAAACAAGTAACCCAATTAAAAAATGGACAAAGGACCTGAATAGATATTTTTTGAAGACATTAAAATGGCCAACAGTTTTATGAAAAGGTGCTCAACAGAACTAATCGTTAGAAAAATACAAATCAAAACCACAATGAGATATTATCTTACACATTAGAATGACTATTATAAAAAAGTCAAGAAATAAATGTTGACAGGACGTGGAGAAAGGGAACCCTTATACAGTAAGTCCTCACTTGATGTTGTTGATTGGTTCTTGAAAACTGTGATTTTAAGTGAAACAACATATAATGAAACCAACTTTGCCAGAGGCTAATTGATAGAAACAAGAGTTAATTCGTATGGCATATTTCTGGTCACAGAAACATCACCAAACTTCTAAATGAAGGCCCAAACACTTCTAACATTAAACATTGGAATAAATGTGAATTATACATTTAAGAAAGATTAATAAAAAGTATGACAATTATTTATACATTTGTTTCACTTCAAGGTCCTAGGTAGCCAGGGCCTATCCTGGCAGCTCAGGGAACAAGGCAGGAACCCACCCACCCTGGACAGGACACCATTCTGTCACAGTGTACACCCACAGACACACCTTCCCACACTCACTGACACTGGAACAATTTAGACGTGCCTTTGAACCTAACATGCACACGTTCAAGATATGGGAGGAAACTGCAGTGCCCAGAGAAAACCCATGAAGGCAGAGGAGAACATGCAGACTTCACACAGATAGTGGCCTCAGCTGAGAATTAATTTATTTTTCTCATCAATGTTAAAATGAAATGACATTGAGTGAAATGACATTGAATGAAAGACATTATTCAAGGACCTGTACACATTGTTGGTAGGAATGTAAATTGGTATGACCATTATGGAAAACAGTATAGAGGTTCCTCAAAAAAGTAAAACTAGAACTACAATGTGATCTAACAATCGCACTACTGGGGATATATTCAAAGGAAATAAAATCACTATTTTGGAGAGAGATCTGCACTCCCATGTTCATTGCAGCATTATTTACAGTAGCCAAAATCTGGAAACAACAAACCTAAGTGTCCATTGACAGATGAATGGAAAAAGAAAATGTGGGGGCTGTGTATACACACACACACACACACACACACACACACACACACACACACTGGAATATTATTCATCCTTTAAAAATAAAATCCTGCCATTTGCAACAACATGAATGAACCTAGAGGACATTTTGCTAAGGGAAATAAGCCAGACACAGAAAGACAAATACCGTATGATCTCACTTATGTGGGATCTAAAAACATTGAACTCAGAGTAGAAGGGTGGTTACCAGGAGTTGGGTGGGGGGAATGGGAAGATGTTGGTCAAAGGATACAAATTTGCAGTTTATAAGATGAATAAATTCTGGAGCCCTAGTGTACAGCCTGGTAACCATAGTTAATTATAATGTATTATATACTTGAAATTTGCTAAGAGAGTAGATCCCAAGTATTGTCACTGCACACAAAAAAAGGTAACTATCTGATGTGGTGGATATGTTAATTCGTTTGATTGTAGTAATCATGTCATGGTATATACATATATCAAAACATCACATTGTACACGTTGAATATATACAATTTTTATCTGTCAATTAAATGTTAATAAAAAAAAAAAAGAATCTGCCCAGTTCACAGGAAGCCATCAGTCAAGCCCTGAGCTCTTGTGTCAGCCCATAGAATATGGTTCGTGTTTTATAGCTTATAAATAAATGAGTGCTCTTGTGCTGAGCACTGGGCTAAACTTTTAAATCCAGGGTCTCATTAGCTCCTATTATTATTCATGTTTTATCAAGGAAGAAACTGAGGCTTTTGGAAATTATGTTTGGCAAGTGTGCCAAAGCTGAAAAGTGGCTTAACCAAGATTTCACTGTAGCTTTTTTTTTTTTTTTTTTTTTTAGCTCTGTATCTTTTATTTTTTAAACTACACCAAAATGACTTTTGGAATTTAGCTTCACTTTTCTGGTAATGGTAACTACCACCTTTTATTGACTGTCTCACCATGTGAAGTAGGCATTATACATCTATTATTTCTAATCCTAATACAACTTTGCAAAGAAAGTATTATTGTTCCCATTTCACAGATGAAGAACTTAAAGTTCAGAGAGGTTTGGAATCTTGCATAACTAAGTGGTGGAGCCAGGATTAGAACCCAAGTTTTATCTGAGACCAGAGTGAGCTCTCATCTCTCCTGTACTTCTTCCATGCCTTACTTTTTCAGGTTCTTAGGAGGAAAGGACTCAAAAAAATTATGCCTGAATTTCCTTTAACCTCACAACAACCCTAAGAGTTGGGGATTGGTATCTCTATTTTACAAGAGAATAAACTGCTCAGGGATAAGTGATTTGCTCAATACCATATGGCTAGTAATTCATGGAGCCACGATTCAAACAGCTTCCAATCCATAGTGTACTGGCCTCTCCCATTCCCACCCCTCCTCCCCCCTTTCACCTCTGTCTCCTCACAGTTAGGCCAGAATCTCCAGCCTTTATTTCTCTAAGTCCTAGTAGTCCTGGGAGTTTGGGGGATTTCCAGCCCCCTTGAATTCCTTCTTAGGACTTGCTGTGCCTCTAGCTCCTCTCTTAAGATTCCTCTTCTCATCTGGAGGAAACTGCCTTGAGGTTGGAGCTCCTTGACTGCTTATCAGCAAGGCTTCTGGGCCTTGCCCTAATGCAGCTTCCCAAGCCACCAGGCTTGTGTCCTGTTCTGATTCAGGGCCCCTGGGAATCCCCTGGATGCAGATGTTTGCAGTGACTAGGATGCAGCAGTCAGCTCTCAGCACTATTTTTCTGGCCAAGGCCAGTTTAGGCGGGCAAGCCTCCAAAGAACCTTCTGTCCTTAACTGCTGTGGGAGCATCGAGGTTGAAAACCTCAGAGCCTTAAGAAGGCTGGGGTTATGTGACTTCTAGAGCTAAGGTTTTTAACCAGGGGTTTATGGGTAGGTGTTAGGGATTAAAAAGGCCTGTGTAATCATGGGTATGGTTACACATACATACATACACACACACACACACACACACACATACACATACACAAAATATACTTTTCTGGGCAAAGTTTCCATAGCTTTCCTCAGATTCTCAAATGAGACTGTGACCTTTGAAGTTTAAGAACTGTTGGTCTAGAGAGAACCCAAAGTGTTACGGGCCACCGTGTCCCTGTGGGCACCAGTTTCTCAGATGTCAGAATCTTGGGAGGCCTTAAGGTGTTTCTGTTTAGGGGTGAACTGGGATACATTACCAATATTGCTGAAACTCACAGCTGTCCTGTAGGATGTCCCAAGTCCAGTCACAAAAATGCACCCCCCCAGCCCATTTCATCTCACTGAACTCACCAAGCGTACTGAACACTATGTGGGTTTTCTGGTTTCTGAGTCCAGAGCTCAGGAGGGCTTCTATAGGCAGTTACACTGACAACAGCAAGAATAGTGTTGACAGCTGAAATTTAGTATGGTTTACCATTGCCAAGAACAGCATTAAATGCTTTATACTCATTATCTTATTTAATCTTTACAATGTCCCAGTGAGGTTGACACTTTTATTTTACATATGGAGAAACTGAGTCATGGAGAGCTTGAGTTACTCGCCAGAGATCACACAGCCAAAGATCACACAGCTTTTACTTACTTACTTACAGTCAGTAAGACTCAAGTACGTGATCTTCACCACCAAGATTTAAGATAAAAGTAAAGGATATTTTCAGAGAAAAATAAATAAATAAAAATATGGGGCAGTTTTGTTTAAGACAGACAGCCTTGTATATTGTGATACTAAGAGCATTGCTGTGTTACAGCTGATATGAAAAACTATGTTTATAGCAGTGATCTGAAATCAAGAATAAAAGGCTAGTGAGTAATAATACATGAATGCCTTAGTGCAATACATGAGGACAATTTCTCTCCATTGTAATTCAGATAAGAATTTTTAAGAAAAGCTTTATTGAAATACAATTCACATGCCATAATGTGAATTGTACCCATTTAAAGTGTACAATTTAGTGGCCTTCAGTATGTTCAGACTTGTGCATCCATCACCACAATCAATTTTAGAACATTTTTACCCCAAAAGAAACCCCGCATCCTTTAGCCATCACCCACCCAACCCCCTACCCCTCCCTAGTCTTTGGTTTCGATACTTGGTTTTGAGTAACAGTGTGGGAATCTTGGTGCTCTGGCATGCGACATTCCCTGAGGAATAATTAGACAAATAAAATTGACTCTAATGTATTTTATAAATGGCTTTATTACTGTGAAGCTACAAGCATGTCGCTGATATGCCTGAATTTGGAGTTGACATAGGAGTATTTTTCTAATTTCCACTTATCAGGTCTCCTGTCCACTAGGCTCTTCTCAGTGAGCAACTGTAAAACGATGATGGTTTTGTGGGGCCACATTTCTCTATTGGCGTCAGAACCGGTGGTAGTTCAGCACAGGATCTTCTTTCTGTCATCTGAATCCCTGGCTTGGTTTCTCTCTGTCTTGCTGTAGTTGTCAGTGTGAAGGGCACTCATGTAGATACTATCACTCTTTGAAATTCAGGAGACAGCATGCAGAGCGTCCTGTCAGGCACCTGGAGGGCTAGAACTGTATGCTCTCTTGAGCTGTTTCATGTTAGCAGATCTCTTGTGTGTCTCCCCTGACTTATTCATTCATTCATTCTTTTAGAAAATATTTATTAGGAACTATGCACCAGGCACCGTGCTAGGTGCCTAGAGAATCACTCTGAAAGCCTATCATCCAGATCCTTACCGTGCGTGGCCTTATTTGACCCTGGTGGGGATAGCCATTTCAGCTGAGAGAAGCCAGTGGGGCAGGGAGGTTGCTAATAGGACAGTTTTCTGCCATGGATGAGGCAGATGCAATATCATCCACAGCAGGGCAAAGCCATCACCAGAATACACCATCCTAAAGAATATACACTGAATCAGGAATGAATAAACACAGTTTCAAGTGCTGATTCAGTCACTAACTGGTTGGAGGACCTTGGGTAATCCATGCCATTTCTCTGAGCCCTGGGCTGTCCATTGTGAGGATTAAGTAATGCAGGGTCTCTAAAAGTACCTTCAGGATCATTGCTGAAAACAGTACGTACTTAGTAATCTTGAAAGAATGACTGCAGGAATGAAGGAATATTTTGTAATTCTCAATGCTAGAGCATAAGGTCAGATAACTAGGTGGTGACAGGTATAAATGAAGACAAAAGAGAACCTCTCTCTTTTCTCCTAGTCAGTCTGCTTCTGTCACCTATAAGCTCACCTTTTCCTAGCCACATCCTCTGATTCCCTGAGCCATAGAGGCATTGCCTTTTGAGGCCTTGGGACTAGGAGTCAGACAGTCCTGGGTTTGAATCCAGGCTCTAGTACGTCGTAGCTATGTGTAAAAGTGATTATACAGGGCTACTGTGTATTATACAGGGCTATTGTGAAGCTTAAATAAGATGATACATGGGAAGTATCTGTCACCATCTTTGAACTTAGTATAGACATCTCATAAATGGTAATCATTTTTATTTTATTAAATTTTAAATAAATTAATTTTAAGTAAATTTTTGTTTTGTTTTATCATTGTTATTATTTATTTGGTTAGGAGCTAGGACTCAGATGGTTATCTTAATCACTGGCTTGAGGGTGTATATGTTTTTATTTTGTTTATTGGTTTCTTGGGTTATTTATTAATTTATTCATGTATTTATAGCTATTGAGTATCTTCAATGTGTCAGGATCTGTGCTATATGCTGGGGAGTGACAAAGAAAAAAGTCAGAGTATCTGTCCTCTTGGAACCAGTCAGAAACACAGATAGTAAACAAATATATTAGCATCTGCACTGAGCCTGGCTCACGGGAGACTTCAGTATATATTTGTTGAATAAATTACAAGTGTAGTGATTATTAGAAAGCAGGAATCAAGGTGCTAAAGGTGGCAAACAGGGAAACCTTATCTCTTTGAGTAGATCAGGGAAGGGGAAGAGATGCTTAGGCTAAGGGGTCTATTTCCCGGGCCACTGGGAGTTACACAGGACAGTTGTGCTGGGGGCTGGTAGTCCCGTGAATGCTCAGTACTTAGAGGTGGCGTGGAGGTCCAGCACACTGAACCAGTGTTAATGTGGGCCAAAGTTACAGGTGACATCTACACTCTGCTCAAGTAGTGATGGTCCCTGGCTTGTAAACAGGTTGCTCTTCCAGGCTCCAAGGAAGGCTGTTTAATTAGTATTGCCTACGTGGGGTTTTTGATTCTGAACCCTGCTTCTATCTGGAGACAGGAAGAATGGAAGGAGGTCCTTCAGCTTGAGATAGGAGGTCCTCAACCCCTTATGGCCCTGGCCTTGGGCACACAGTACCGGTGCCTATGGGCAGTGTTTGAAGAGATTTCCTCACTGCCTCCAGGCCTCATTCTCCCTGTAGGGAGAAGCCTCTGAAATTGGCGTGTAAGGGACACATTAAAGTGTTCAATTGGAAATGTGAGTGTAAGGGTAAAACCCAAGTCAGAGCAAATTTCTAAGTCTGCCTTTGCCCTCCAAGACCTGGAAAGTCCCCAGGCCCAGCCAATCCTGTCTCACCCCTCTCCTCCACTCACTGCTCCCAGCCCGGCAGCCTCCTTGTTACTCTTTGTGGGCAGCAGGTGTGCCCACCTCATGCATGCTATTCCCTCTGACTCGTACACTTTCCCCAGGTGTGAGCCTGGCTCCCTCCTCACTTCCTTCAGGTTTCTGCACCAGTGTCACCTCTGTCAGGCTTTCTGTCCTCTCTGTAGAAAAATCTCACTTCCCTGTCTTACCCTACTTTAGTTTTCTCCATAGCACTTTTGCCACGTGATAGTTATTTTGTTAGCGATGAGTCACTCTGCTAGAATGTGAGCTTCATGAGGGCAAAGAGTCTGTTATGCTCATTGCTGAATCCTCAGTGCCTGGCGAATAATAAATATAAAGGCTATTATGAAGGAAGGAAGGAACTTCCTTAAAATTAGTGACTGTATATAAATGACTGGACTCCTGACCCCCCATTCCACCTTGTACATCTTTTTGCTGTAGCTCTTAACTACCAAGCCTTTTAAAGAGTTTTAAAGTTTTTGAAGATTTATATATATAGAAGTGCTCCCTAAATTCTTTTCTCTCTTACCATGTGTGTGGCGTGATGTTCCCATCAGGAAGCTGACAGGGCAGTGATCACCAGCTACAGAGCACATTCCCTGGTTCTCCCACCTGGGTGGTATTAGAATCCCCAGGGGAAGCTAGGGGTATAGTTTGAAAGTGTCTCCCAGTGGTAATTCCAATATGTCCCCTCCCCACTACCACTGGTTAAGAATCGTGAGTTTACAAGTTGATCTTCATAACCAGACCATGAATTTCCCTCAGGGGCATGATGGTGTCTTACTGTTTTTGTATCCATGGCATCTAGTACCAAGCCTGGTACACATTGGGGGATCAGTAAAATTTTTTTTTTTTTAGTTAAACAATGATTTTACTGATTGAGTTCAGAGACAAATTTATGCAACCAGGGCAGAGGCTGTGGATGACTCATACTTCCAGTTGGGAGGAAGAACTCGCTTGGTCTTGTAATATCGAGCCAATCGATGAATTTGGCTCTCTGTCAGAATCAGACGGAATTTAGCATCCTTATCCTTTCTATTCCTCTCAAGATACTTTTGAACAGCAACCGCTTTCTTAATTAAATAATAGAGATCTTCAGGAAGATCAGGAGCAAGTCCTTTAGACTTCAGGATTCTCAAGATTTTATTTCCTGTCACAAAACGTACTTGTGCAACGCCATGTGAGTCCCTCAGGATCACACCGATCTGTGAGGGAGTAAGGCCCTTCTTGGCCAGTTTATAAATCTGCTCCTTACGTTGTCAGACGCCACTTCAGCCAAGTGGGGACGCTGTGGCAATAGGGCAAAGCTGACTGGGACAGGCCCTTCCTGGGAGCATGCATGTGACCCATGATGGCTGCAGTCTGGCAGCAAAAAAAAAGCAGATCAATAAAATTTGTTAAATGAGTGAATGAATGTTACAGAGATAACATCTTGCTACTTTTCATTCTCCACAGTGTATGTTGGTGATGCTTTTTATAGAATCCTAGAGAAACTGGAGAGGAAACCCAAAGCTGGGAGTGACATTAGAGATTGCGTTGGTTACCCACTTCTGCATAATATATCACCCCCGATACTTAGTGGTTTAAAACAACAGCAATAATTTATTGTCTCTTGTGGTTGCTGTGGGTTATGAATTTGGGAACAGATTGCCTGGGAAATTCTGGCTTGGATCTCTTATGTAGTTGCAGTTAGATAGTGACTGGAGCTGGAGCAGCTAAGGGCCAGCACAGCTAGAGGCTGGCTGGCTGCTTCTCTCTGTATGCTGTCTCAGGACCTCTCCATGTGATCACTTCATGGGCCCTGTTTGGGCTTCCTTACATCATGGCTACCTCAGATTTCCTACATGCAGCTCAAAGCTCCAAAGGCAAGTGTCTCAAGAGAGAACCAGGTGAAAACTGTATAACCCTCTCTGCCCTCATCTTGGAAGTCACACAACATCATTTCTGGTGTGTTCTATTTGTTAGCGGTTTGTCACTAAGGCCAGCTAATTCAATGGGGTTGAAATTAGACTCCTCTCCTGATAGGAGGAATGTCAAAGAATTTGCAGACATGTTTCAAAATCACCACAGAGAGATCCACTTCACCCCTTCAGTCTGCACTTGAGACTGCTGAGGTTTGAGGGAGAAGAACCTTGCCCAGAGGCCCCCAGTGTGGCATCAGCAGAGGTGGAGCACAGCCTAGCCCCTGGACTTTGGCAGGCCTGCTTGGAAGTGATCTCACTTTCCCTTCCTGCCCCTCCCTGCACAGTAGGATGGAGCCTGCCACTCTCTGGGAACCTTGCTTTGTAGCTGATCCCTCACCCAGAGTAGATAATGCATGAACAGCAGGAGGGGAGCCCCAGCATGCCTGGCCACCAAGCAGTAATCCATCTGGACCTTTCTTCTTCCTGAAGACCTCCAAAGAAGCCCCAGCTTTCATGGGTTGAAGAGAGTCCATGTCACAATTCCAATCACCAGCCCCAGCCCTATGTGAAGTAATAACACTGCCCTGCTGCAGGGTAGGATACAGCTGCTGAGGGGGAGAGAGTTTTAAAATGTGTAGCCCAAAATAATTATTTTTACTATTGCTGTGAAGTTAGATACCAAAAAATAGAATCTGGGGTAGAACTCAGAGAATCAACCCAACATTGCAGAAAAGATTCTGAAGATTTTTACCTCCAGCTGAACATCCATAAGAAAAGGTTGCTTAAGCATGGATAAAATGCATCTATGTACATGTTTTAGCCAGCACTGTAGAATGCTTTCTTGGGACTTCCTTGCTTTCTTGCCCTTCCTTCAGAAATGCCTCATTATGAGGTACGGACAGGGGAGAAAGAAGGGCAGAAGAAGGAGTGGACACTTTTTAATAAACCCTTACTATATGCCAGGAAGGATGCTAATTCATTTCCATGCTTTACCTAATAGCACAGCCCCATCCTGCTCCACACCCTCTGGGTATATGGCCTTGGACAAGCTCCTTAACCTCTCTGAGCCTCAGTTGCCTCTTTTGTACGATGGGATGATGATACTCTCTATTTCATAGAGTTGCTATAAAATTGAATGAGATAATGCCTATAAGATGCTAGCACAGTCTGGCATGTAGTAAGGACTCCATAAATGCTGGCTTTGATTAATCCCACAATCACCATTTCAGGCAGTTGTTAGCCCCCCATTTTATAGAAGAAATGGTCAGGTGGGTTGCCCAGCACCATGTGGTGCAGCTGTAGGGGCAGGAGTTGAGACTCCAAAGCCCTTGCTGTGTCCACCACGCCACATTAGCCTCCAGGCAGCTCTGCCAGTGCCTTCCTGACATGCAGGAATGGGGGACAGAGGAACTCAGGAGGCTTCATGCCCTGTAGGGGCCCCATGTCAAATCCTAGAGGAGGAACCTTTGCAAAGCCAGGGCCAGGACCACCTACCACTTACACAGCTCTATAGAGAGCAGGGTAACGGAACATTACAGGAAGAGGGAACAGTCTAGTAAAGGTTCCGGGGTCAGGGATTAAGTGAGGTTTGAGGAATTAGAGAGGCCAGTGTGGCCAGAGCAAAATGGGCCAGGAAGAGAGTGGAAATAAGACGGAAGTTTGCAGAGGAAGGCAGGGCCAGATCACTGCAGGGCTTCAGGGGCTGGCAGAAGGAATATGGATTTTGCTAGATCTGGAATGGGAAGGCATCAAAGGCTGGATGAAGCAGGGGAATGACATGACCTAATTTCTGTTTTGAGAACATCACCCTGGCTGCTGTGTAGAAAATAGACCTTGGGCTGTGGCAGGGGAGGGAAGCAGGATTGTGGTGAGGGACTCTGCCGGGGGTCCAGGTGAGGCATCATGGAGCCTGCGTGGTGCACACGGAGGAGAGAGGTGAGCAGATTCAAGCTCTGTTTTGCAAGTAGAAAGAATAGGACATGGTGACAAATCGTATGTGGGTGGTGAAGGAGGAGGAGGCTTAGGGATGGGCAGCCTGGGCATGTGGTGCCTTCGCTGAGCTGGGGAAGGTTGGAGGGGAGCAGGCTGGAGACTTGCTGTGTGCAATTTGAAATGCTGCTGAGGTAGTCAGATGACACGATGCCCAGGCAGTCAGAGTCACACATCTAGGCTCTTGGCAGTCATCACCATACACTATTTAAGGGAAAGGGTAAGAACCCCCAGGGAGGAAATGAAAAGCAGATCGGCCTCCTGGGGAGGCTCTGGCTCAAAGGTGCTGTCAGGAGGAGCTGCCTGTGTGGAGTGGCAGAGAGGCTGGAGCAGGCCCTGAGGGTGTGTGGTGTCTGGAAGGCCCACAAAGAGTGTGCTCGGAGAAGATAATAAGCGGGAAAAGGAAACATAAAGCGAGGTGTCCATGGGAACAGGCCATGTGGAAGCATCAGGCTTAGTCTCATTTTGTGTTCTCTGTTCTTGGTGTGTTCATGGCCAAAAAATGACCAGACAAGCCTGAGGTGAAATTTATTGAGCAGGGAGCAAGATAGGATCATAGAGCAAGAGCAAGACATGGGTTTACAAAGCCAGGTACATACAGCACAGATGTCTCCTTGTTGCAGCAGAAAAAGAGAGCAAGAGGAAGGGCAAAAAGGGTCTGGTTATGGTCTGTGTCTTATTTTATAGTGCCCAGATTGGGACCTCCCTCATGGTTTAGAGGCCACCATGGAACCACTTTGGACAATTGAGAGTTGTATGGCCTGTCGTACTACACATGTGGGTTGTTCTAGGTCAATTTCCAGACACTATGGTACCTATGCTGCTTGGCCCGTGGGCTAGAGGGTTCTCTGCATGCTTTTGCAGCTGGGTGCTAAGTTCCAATTGGCAGATTTGTAGAATATTCCCTCCTCTCCCAGGTATGGCGGCAGCTCAGGGCAGGATTAGGGCGGGGCAGGACCAAGATGGGGACCTGGGGCCCACCTTGTCCTTCTTCCCAGGTGGGGCAGTTGCACCAAGGCAACAGCACCCACTTTTATCCCTAGGAGACACGGGATCCCTTGCTATCTACCTAACAAAAGTCACCGAGGACCTTGTCTGGCTCTAGCACTTTGCCCTTTCCCTCCTCACCCCTGCCTGCACCCAGGCCTGCACGAGTCTGGGCCTTCCAGAAGCAGAAGCAGAGGCCAAGGCCTGGCCTGTCTGTTTCCAAATAAAGCCTCCCCAAGGGCCGCTCTTTGTGAATGGGCAGCAGGTACTGTCCTGGCAGGAGACAGGCTCCACTCTGGTAATCCTGGGCTGGAGGTGCCCCTAAGGCACTGGATAGAGCTTTGGTGCCAGCCCCCAGCAGGCCACACGTGGCTAGAACCAGCAGCCCTGCCCTTTCCCAGGTTTTTGGAATGTTCTCAATCTGGGGCCCTGACTTTTCTGTTTGTCTTAGTGCCTCTCTGGTTCTGGCTTCTCATCACAGAGAGAAGCCGCTGCTCTTTGAATGTGAGGAATGCCAGTTCAATAGGCCTTGGTATTTTCATCATGTTTCCACAGCCCTTTCTTTCTTCCCTCAGAGAAGCCTCAGAGAACATTTGCCCACCCTTAAGGAAGCCTCTCCCATGAGACCAAGTCCCATTTCTGTGCTTTGTGTCTTCTGCAAAATATCTGCTTGCTTTTTGTGTGGTTTCTGCAAATATTGAATTTTTTAAAAGAAAAAAAAAACAGGAAATGACCTTTCTAGTATATTTGGAAAACAATTTGGAGCTGTAATGGAATCTGCCTGAGCAAGGAGGACTAATAGCTGCAGACTTGGAACAGACCATGTAGCTCTTGGCAGAGCCCGGGAGCCCTTCAGCTTACAAAGCGGGGGGAGTAGTAACCCAAGAGAGAAGCGGCTTCCTGTGGGGAAACCTGACTGTGCCCAGAGCAAGCACCTGCAGGTGTCGTAGCCTCTGAGCCCACGGCCCCAGGGGTCTGGGGACATAGTATAAGGGTTTCTCCCTTCTGTCCTGGACATTCAAGGTCAGTCAAATGCCCTCCAGTGATCCAGATCCTGCAAGACACCAGAACCTCCTGAGGATGAGGAAGAGCCCCAGAGGGCTCAAGCTGAGATAGGAGATACTAGGCTACCAGTGGACTCAGGTTGCCTGTTGGCTCTGTCTGAATCACTTTCTATCCAACTTTCCTGTAGATTTCAGCCAAAATCACCTCCTCATGGTGGCCTTCTCTAACCATACAACTTTTAACTGAATTATCCACACACTCAGAACCCTCTCCTCTTCTTCCATAGCACATATCGTAATCTGTGATGATAGGTTCATTTACTTATTTAGTGCCTTTTACTCTTTTCAGATCATAAAATTTATTTTAGTTTCCAGTGTATACCCCACACGTGGCACAGTGCCTGGCATATAGAAGGTGCATTAGTAAACACTGAATGTATGAATGAGTGAAATGGCAGGACTGAAAGAGACTTAGGAATCATAATTCAACCTTCATTATTCAGATGGGGAAAAGGAAGCTGGGAGAGATGAAGGGTCACATCTCTGGTATGGGCATTGAGCCAGACCTTCAGCCATTGTTACGATGGAGGGCTGCATGTCCTTTGTTCTTTCTACCCTGGAATCTAGAGCATCTTCTATTATTTGCTCATTTATCACATATTCATTGAGCTTCAACTATGTGCTAGGCCTTCCAGATATAACAGTAAGCATGCCAGCAGGGTCACCACTTTTGTGCAATTTATATTCCTTCCACTCAGCACTATAAAGTGCAAAAGAAGGAAGTATAAGTTTTGACCTTTTATAGCACCATTAAACAGTAAAAACAAAGGAGATGTATGAAATGTCAAAAGGAAAATTTTTATTAATACTAATAAAATACTAAAATTAGTATTAATACTAATATTAATAAATTTTATTAATACACACCATGAATGAACCATATTAACAGTTTATTTTATGCTGCTTATGTTACATCCCACATAACTTATCAGACTCTTCATGTATCATCATCTCATTGAATCTTCACAACAGCCCCATGAGCAGGGTATTACTGTTGTCCCCATGTTGCTGAGGTGAAGGGAGTTGTCCAAGGTCTCACAGTTAGTAAACAGGGAAGCTGGGCTGGACTGCTGCACTAGATGGTTTCTACCATGCCACACACCCCCTCTCAGAGATCTGTAACGTCATCTGAGACTCCCAAAGAGACAGTGTAGTGTGGGAGAAAGAGCTCTGGACCAGGAGTTAGGACCCCTAGATGAAGAACTTTGAGCAAATCACTTTCCCTTTCCAAGCTCATTTTCTCCAATTGTTAGTGAGAGGATTGTCTAGATGAGCTCTGGGATCTCTTCCAGTTAGGTTCTACAACAACTTTTCCTTAGTCGAACAAATATTTCCTGAGCTTCTGCTATGGACCAGACCCTGTGATAGTCCTGAATGAAAGCTGTTCCCCTGATGGAGATAGGTCATAGGCCATTGGAAGTAAAGACCCAGAACTCAGGAGAGAAAAGACTCTCTAGAATTAGATCCGTATCTTAGGGCATGTTAAAAATCATTTGTTGAAAACATCCTCCCATGTCAATATACCTAAATGGATCTGCCTTATTCTTTTTAATCATTGAAGGTTTCTGAGCTGGGTGTGAGTATGCACCATCTGATGTTTGAGAATGTGCTTCTTGCAAGCAGAGGACAGAGGGCTTGAGGATGAATTGGGGACAGGAAGGTGAGGAGTAGGTAGGAAATCTGGAGGCAGGAAAACCAGTTAGAAGAAGGTTGTAATAGACTCAATACTGATGATAAAGCATAAGGTCGTCATCATGTGGCAGAAATGCAAGGATGGACCTGAAGTATTTAAGAGAGAAAGTATTTGAACCTAGGTGATTGAGCTTTAGAGCTTTAAGGTACAGGATACCTCCTTAAAGAGGGAAAAATGAGATGAGGCATGAATTAAGGGGAATAGTTTTTTTTTTTTTTTTTTTTGAGACAGAGTCTCACTTTGTTGCCCAGGCTACAGTGAGTGCCGTGGCATCAGCCTAGCTCACAGCAACCTCAAACTCCTGGGCTCAAGCAATCCTCCTGCCTTAGCCTCCCGAGTAGCTGGGACTACAGGCATGCCCCACCATGCCCGACTAATTTTTTCTATATATATATTAGTTGACCAATTTCTTTCTATTTATAGTGGAGACGGGATCTCGCTCTTGCTCAGGCTGGTTTCGAACTCCTGACCTCGAGCAGTCCACCCGCCTCAGCCTCCCAGAGTGCTAGGATTACAGGCGTGAGCCACCACACCCGGCCAGGGAATAGATTTTTGACTTGGGCAACCGATTATGGAGGTGGCTCTTGACTAAGAGAACAAATGAATGAGAGAGAGGGTACTGGAGGAGAGGAGCATAATCCTGTTTGTATCCTCTTGGTGGATTCATCTAGATGTCTGCAGCTCAGCAGTGAGAGATGTCTGCAGCTCAGCAGTGAAAAGATCAACATTGAATGAATGGAAGGTGATGACATGAGAGAGGATGAGCTGTGTAGAACACTGAGAGGAAATACGGTAGAAGAGAATAAAGGATGGAATTAAAGGCATATACCAGTAGTCAAGGTGTTGGACTAGGAGAATGAGAAAGAGCATTCCAAGAAGTTGAAGGAAATACTTCACTGCCTAAGCCTTAATTTCCTCATTTCTAGAATGAGGATTAGAATAGTACCTACTCATTTGCTGTGCTGAGAGCTATGTGAGAGAATGCATGGAAGACACTTAGCCTTGCATCTCAGAAGTAGAACTCATGGAGTAATTCATTATTCATCCAGTAAGTATGAACCGGGCACTACCATATGCCAGACACTGGACCAGCCCTTTGGGATACGGTGGGGAACAAGAGGGAAGACTGAGTGCTTGACTTTGTGGGAAGGGGATTGTAAAACAAAGATGACTCACTATCATAAAAATGTCACTTTTGTCTACATTCTGTATTCATGTACCATGTATCACTGTATACATTTATGGCAATCCCAATAAAAATACCAGGAGACTTTTGGAAACAAGTGAAATAACTATTAAATTCATAAGAAGGCTGTGCACAGTGGCTCACGCCTGTAATCCTAGCACTCTGGGAGGCTGAGGTGGGCGGATTGCTTGAGGTCAGGAGTTCGAAACCAGCCTGAGCAAGAGCAAGACCCCGTCTCTACTATAAATAGAAAGAAATTATTTGGCCAACTAATATATATATAGAAAAAATTAGCCGGGCATGGTGGTGCATGCCTGTAGTCCCAGCTACTGGGGAGACTGAGGCAGGAGGATCGATTAAGCCCAGGAGTTTGAGGTTGCTGTGAGGTAGGCTGATGGACTCACTGTAGCCTGGGCAACAAAGCGAGACTCTGTCTCAAAAAAAAAAAGTTCATAAGAAAACATAGACTAGTAAAAACAACCAGAAAAATTCTGAAGACAAAAAAGATCTAGGGGTCCTCAAACTTTTTAAACAGGGGACCAGTTCACTGTCCCTCATACCATTGGAGGGCCATTTGAGAGTGCGGTGCACATTCCACACATGCACACTGTGGGCCCGGGACAAGTCGGCTGCTAAGCAGGACAGGCAGCGGCAGCAAAAACACCCAGTGGGATGGATAAAAGTCTTCGGCGGGCCACATGTGGCCTACAGGCTGCAGTTTGAGGACCCCTATGAGAAGGAAACTAGCCTATGGGTATTTTTTTTAAAAATTAAAGCTAAAGTAATATAAACAACTCAATAGTAGGACATGAGTATCTAGATCAATTGAAGAGACTAAAAGGTTCAGAAACAGACCCTGATAATATAGTTTTGTATATAATGTAGTGTTTCAAGTTAACGAAAACCCCAAATGATTTTGAGATAAATGAAAACAATTAAGATGAATCTATAACTCATACACAAATAAATTTCAGATCAACCAAACATTTAAATATGAGCTAGGTATAATGGTTTATGCTTGTAATCCCAGCTACTTCGAGGTTGAGCAGGGAGGATTGTTTGAGGCCAGGAGTTCCAGACCAGCCTGGACAACATAGCAAGACCCAATCTTAAAAAATAAAAGGAAAAAATTAGCCATGAGGATAGCTTGAGCCCAGGAATTCAAGGCTGCAGTGAGCTGTGATCATGCCACTGTACTCCATCCTGGGTGACAGAGCCAGACTGTCTTAAAAACAAAAATTTTTTAAAATATTTAAATATGAAAAATGAAGCCATGAAAGTACCAGAAATAAACAAAGGAGAATTATTTACAATCTTGGAGACATTTCTAATTATGTTCCAAAATCCAGAAACCATAAAATAAAATATGGACCAATTTGACTACATGAATATATATAAATACATGTATGTGTGAAGAGAAGTCCCCAAAACAAACTCAAGGTACAAGTGACAAGTAAAATATACTTGTAATTCCTCTTAGGGCAAAAGACTAATTGTCTTAATATATTAAAAGTCCCCACAAATCAATAAGAAAAAGATGTAAAATCCATTACAAATATGGGCAAAAGGATTGGAAGAAACAGCAGAAAGGGAAGTGCACATGGAAAGATGCTCAACTGCACTCACAGGAGTAATACAAACTGAAACAACCGAATGCTGCTTTTCACCTTGCAGATTAAAAACATTAAAACATCAAAGAGAAGAATGTGGTGGAAAAAAGTGCTTCTCAGATAAACTTAGTGGGAATTGCTATGGTTTAGGGGGGTGGCCTTTAAGAGGTGATTAGGCCATCAGGGCTCCTCCCTCACTAATGGGATCTAGTGCCTTTAAAGAAAGGCTAGAGGGAGGGAGTCTGCCCTTCTTTCCCTTTCTGCCGTCTGCCCTGCAAGGACACAGTGCTCAAGGCACCAAGGGAAGGAAGCAGAGAGCAGCCCTCATCAGACACTGAATCTGCCAGTGCCTTGATCTTGGACTTCCCAGCCTCCAGAACTGTGTGAAATAAATTTCTGTTTTTTTTAAATTACCAGTTTCAGGTATTTTGTTGTAGCAGCACAAAATGGACTGAAACAGGAATTAACCTGTGTGGAGGAAAATTTGGCAATACCTATTACAATAAAAAAAAAAAGTAGATCCTTTGATGTGGCAATTCTACTTTTATGGAAACAACCTCAAAGTCCATCAAAAGGGAAGTAATTAAATTAGTCCACAGTAATGAGCAACAGAATATCACACAGAACAATTTAGCTCTGTAGGAATTTTGATAAAATAAATGCTTCAGTGGCTTCAGGGTGAGCTAGAATTGTTTTTAAAACATATTTTTAAATGAGAAAAGCAAGATGGAAAACAAAATTTTGTTTTAAATAAAGAAAAAAGGAAGGGAAGGGAAGTGAGGAATATGTACCAGGTGTCCTCAAACTACGGCCCGTGGGCTATACCAGGGTGTTTTTTCCCGTTTGTTTTTTTACTTCAAAATAAGATATGTGCAGTGTGCATAGGAATTTGTTCATAGTTTTTTTAAAAACTATAGTCCAGCCCTCCAACTGTCTGAGGGACAATGAACTGGCCCTCTGTTTAAAAAGTTTGAGGACCCGTGGCATAGACTGTCTCTAGGACACAAGAAAATGCTTGCCTCCAGTTCTGGAGGCTGGGAAGTCTAGAAGTCCAGTGTAGTACAGGGTGGGAAGGAAACTGAGTTCTTACTCTTTCCTTTGGCACCTTTTGAGTTTTATACGCATGCACATATACACAAATATTAAGCAATGTAAAAATAAAGCGAATGCTTTCACTGTAAATTTGGAAGATATAAAAGATATTTTAAAATCATTTATAATTAAATATTAGTATATGTGATTATATCAATGAGATTCTGTTTCATTTAACAATATATGTGAACATTTTCCCATGTCTGTCTGGTTTTTTTTTTTGAGACAGAGTCTCACTCTGTTGCCTGGCTAGAGTGCCATGGCATCAGCCTCGCTCACAGCAACCTCAAACTCCTGGGCTCAAGCAGTCCTTCTGCCTCAGCCTCCCGAGTAGCTAGGACTACAGGCACGTGCCACCATGCCCGGCTAATTTTATTTATATTTATATATATATAT